ACATACTCCATCTCACAGGTATCAACGAAAAGCAAACAGTCCCTCAAGAGAAATCGTAAGTGGAGGCTGACGTCAAACTGGACCTCGGTGCTTCGCTCTATTCCACCTGCCTGCAGCTCCCTTAGGAAGCTTTACCCATATTTAAAGCAGAAGCTGCTCTGTACACATTGGCTTTGCTAGCCCAACTAAGAAGCCTGTTACACTTGGGCAAATGGTGTGTAACACAGGTAGAAGCCAAGGCTGCAAGATGATCCTTGAGAAGCTGCAGAATTCACACAGTGTGCAGCTCAGGTGTCCTATCACCACCACAGGGAAAAAATAAACACTCTAATACCTATAAACCAAAGATACCATCCTGTTATGCAAAAAGTTTGTAGAACTGGGGTTTTACAACACATTTGATTACAAACAACAGGATCTTGTCACTCAGTCCAAAGGGTCAGGAACTAAAGAAACCACCCATAACTTTTTCTATCTTCCTTCCAAAGTTATAATATTGCAAAAAGCATTGGTGTCTGGAAAAACCAGCATGCATGGTGAATGGAGAAGACAGACACTAGTTTGATAGCACCAACCCAACCAATGAGTTCTGCAACACTAATTATATCCTGCCCAGAGCCTCACCAAAACCCTTCTCCGAAAAGAGATCTTACAGCCACTTCAGTAACATGATCTCATAAGAAGCGCACTGAAAAGGACTGGCTGTGAGACTAGAACTCACAGGGAAGATAAAGCACCCAGAGATAGGCCTCAGCTTTTTCTAATCAGAAAATTCATCCATCCTTGAGATTCTGCTTGAAAGAAATCTGTTGCCAACACAACAGGCAGAGGGGTACCTTCAGCAGGGCAACGATGGTTTCACTGGCAAGTAAACATGTGGAGCATGGTGTCCTGTTTCACCTCCTCCCTGCCCCATGCAGATTATCCGATATCCAGCAATACAATGTGAGCTCATACTGGAACCATCTGCACATGAGGGGCATTAATTCAGCTCTCCCTTTCTCTCCATTGCCTGCTTTCCAGCAACACCTGGACACAAAGTACCTCTGAGATTCTATCTGTCACATAAGCCTTATCTTCTTGATAAAGTATGAAGTGCTTTCCTAGGGAGTTCTCCAGGAAAAAAAAAAAAAAAAAAAAGTTAAGTCAGATCAGCAAAAGAACATCTGTAGCTTGTCAGGCTTTATCACTCCTTGTACTTCTCTAGTACCATAAAGCTCACAGCTGCCAAACCATCCTAACCCCACTCAAAACTAAGTAAAAACCATAAAAGCTTTGAACAAAGACCTTAAGGGAAAAAATAATCAATATGGATTTTCCCTCCTCCTAGACAGGTGACTGTGATGGTTCTTTCTCAACGAGAGAGCTTTTTCCATCTACAGTTTTTTGCTTGAAGCCTGCCTCCCTATGTGCAGAGGTTCCACAGAGCAGACAGCTCCTTTTTCAGTTGAATCCTGAAGACATTTGCATTTAAATTTAGCTTAAGGTTCTCGGTTGCCGTTCTGTAGAACAGATTCCCACCTGCTTCAAAACGGCTGAGATTTCACTCCAGGTGTTGTCACCTGCCATGCTACAGCTACTAGCAGCTTCAAAAAAAAAAAAAAAGTCTTATCAGAACAAGCTCAAAATGCAAGCCATGCCTTCTGCAAACTGTGTTTGTGGGGGGGAGGGAGTGGGAAGTAGCACAGGCAGAGCCCAGAGAAGGGATTGTTACATGACACAAATTAATGGAAAAAAAAAAAAAAAAAAAAGAATTGGGAAACCACAGCCAAAAAGCACTGCCAAAATTACTCCTCTGCCTTCCTTGTCAAGGCCAACGTCCTTGGTTATTTTTCAGTGCTGGGTCACAAATACTTTAGTGAAACCTCTGGTTTAGTGGCATAGAAACGCTTTTTTTTTTTGCACTGAAGCACACTTCACAGAAAGTGATCCAGATCTTCCATTTGGTCCAAATGAAAAGAGCAAGAGACCACTGCTCTAATCACAGCAGCTCCCAGACAAAGCCTAGAAAGGGAAATGTAAGCTCATTCCTTTCTACTCCACACGCACACAAAAAAAAAAAAAAAAAAAAAAAAAAAAAAAAAAGCTCCTGAGGAGAACTCCCTTTCCAACACCAAGTTTACAGTTTGTCTCCTGAGAAGTGCCTATTCTCCAGGCAATTCACATCCCCCAGTTCCAGAGCCGATCCTCTCTTTCCACTCTGAATCCCTGGGATGAGGATTCGGCCAGACAAGGAACAAAACCCCCCCCTATGAGCTCAGCCAACTCCTAGTATCTCCCAGAGGTTCCTCACACCAGAGGTGCCCTGTAGCACCAAGGTGCTGCTTCATTTTGCTTAAAGCAGAAACTCACAGGTACACAGATTGATACATTCAAAACCAGGAGACTCTTCAAACCAAATGAGAACTGTGCGAGCATGAAAGATTCTTAAAATTTCCAAAATAGAAGGTAAAAATGATGACATGGGAAGTAATTCTGGGATTCCAGACGTAAAACAACAACTTTCAAACCTTTATTGTCAAATGCTCAATGGCAGAGTTTAAAGAGCGTGCAAACACGAGCCTCTCCCCAAATACCACGACAATGGAGGCATTACAATTTTACCCTATTTTACTGATGTTGAGAACCTACAAAAGGTTCTGAGCTCAAAGATAAGGTCTGCTTCAGCAAACTGCGGGATGACAAAGTGCAGCTTACAGCCTAAATCTCCCAGCTGCTGAAAAGGAGGATATGTTTGCAATAGTTGCATGGGTCCTTTCTGCTAGATGGGTTCCTTTCAGAGACATCAACTTCCTCCATACGTTTCACCGGACAACAGGAAGACTATTGCTAAGCATTACACTTCAGGCTACTCTTGAATAGAGAAGAGGGATTAAAAGCGTGCACAGCCCATTTGCAAACAGCACAGTCAACCATTCTGCCCCATATTTCCTGCTGAACTGAGAAAGCTCCTTCCAAAAATAGCCAATAGTTTTGCTGAAAGGCTCAAAACAAACAGTACTTCTGAAGGAATATCTTACATACTTTACATAATAGCCATCTCAGAAGGGAAAAAAGGATGTGTACAGTGTTCCAGTGTGAATTCTGTGTTGAACAAAAAGACATCATTCTTTGCTTAACACAAGGCTTAAATTCACCATGAAGGAAATTGCTCAAGTTAAAGCCTTTGGGCTCTAGCTGGGAGGGAGACATCCCTCTGAAGGGAACCATTTTTATCCTAAATTGAAGTTGAAAGAGGATACATAAAAGGAACGCTGTCAACTTGTTTAAGCCTCAATTTGTACTTGCCTCAAAAAAGGAAAGTTCAATCTCATTCAGCTTCTATCAGAAAAATCCAAAACATCTTTAAGCACTTGGATTGTTGGGCACCCAGGTACACCTATATAGGCTTCTACTTAAGGACTTTGTTTTTGCTTTAAAACCTGGTCCTTATCCCTAGACATATGGTTTACCCTTCCTGTTAAACAGTATGCCTACTTTAAAAGGAAATGACATAATAGTAACATCGGTATCACACTATAACTGCTGCCTTCTCTCCCATTCAGCAGTAGCTTTCCTCACAAGCTAGAAATCTACATCCATGTGCTTGCTCGGTGACACTCTGCCCCTTCAAGACAAAGGTGAAACTCCACAAAAGAGGAATTGTTACAAGCAAAGCAACAGCAGTATGAAGGGGGCAAAGTCAGCGATCAATGCCTTTTATTCTTTCTGAGAGCCAGGAGAGAGAAGTTGCACTGTTTGTACTAGGATAATAACAGCTAAAGGGCCTAGAAATTGTGTTCACTTATTAAGTTCTTTATGGTTTGCTTTCCTTTCCTCCTCGAAGGGAAACTAGCTGTCTGTTTTTTGTGTAAAGCAATAAAAAACTGATTTCAGATCGTGCAAATTCCCTACAAGACACAGCTATGCTCTCGATTCTTACTGTCATTCCCATATCCCACGTCACCATGGGGGAGAGCAAGCAAGGGAAAGAGCTACACGTCCTGGTGGGAGCACTTGTGGAACGTTCTTCCCCTGAGGAAGGAACCTGCACGTTAGGAGCAGGGAATGGCCCGGCAGCCAAGCTTGGCTCAAGCTGCACCAGTAAGTACTCCATCAGCAGGCCAGGAGCTCAGCCTGCATCACCCACCTTAAGATTAGCTCAAAATACGGTTGCCACCTGGTGGCTAGCAGGGAAGGAATACGGCATCCGCGAGAGCTCGGGCAGGTCTGCTGTCGGCGCGAGGAGCTGCGACAGGGAAAGCCGCAGGGAAAACCGCGCTCCGCGGAGCGCAGGGAGGGAAGCAGGAGCTGCAGCCAGCAGCCCCGCGCGGCCATCCGCACGCGTGCTCCGCAGCTCCCAGGCTGCCGGTCCCGGCCAACGAGCCCGGGGCAGCGACAACGTTAGGCCCGACGGGTCCGGGCTCCGCTGTGACCCCGCGGCGTTTTGTAATACCGTCGGGGCCGAGGCCAGCGCAGCACCCACCCCCAGACCGCCAGGATTAAATCCGGTGCTAAAGATAACCGCAGGGAACACGAGCGGAGCTCTGATCCGCTCACCCTCCGCCCTCGGACGCGCACCCGTCCTTATTCAGTCAATGTCACCCCGCGGCGGTGGGCTGACAGCGGCTGACTGAGCGGCCGAGCCGCGGCCCTACGCGAAGCTGCACTGCCCAGGGCACGGACCCGGGCATCGCGTGCCGCCGGCACAGGGAGCACAGAGCTGTCCTCCCGTCACCGCAGCAATCCGCCGCTTCGGCTGCGGCCGCTCCGAGAGCTGCACTGAAAGGCGAGCGGCCGCACCGAGCCTCCGGGAGACCATCAGGAAGCGGCGCCCGTCCCCTTCGCTCGGTGCCTCCGAGGTTACGTTCGCAACGCCACAGAACGCAGCGGCGCTCGCTAAGCGCCCAGCCGGCTCTGCCTCTCCTCCGGCAGCGCCCGCGTCGCCTCCCGTCGGTGCTCAGCCCGGGCCGCGAGCGACGGCAACCCGGCCCCGCGCATCCCCACCCCCGCCCCCTCACCTTCTCCTGCGCCCGGGTGAGCTTCTTCTGGACGTTGCTGGCGATCTTGCCGGCCGTCACCCCCTTGCTGCCCAGCTCGGCCATCTTGCCTGCTCTTTTAACGGGCGGCTGCGAGCGCCGGGCCGGCGGGAAGGGGGGGAAAACCCGGCGGGAGACAATGGCCCCAGCCGCCGCCGCCCGCCCCACGGCGCCGCCTTTTAAAGGGACAGAGCGCCGCGCCGCCTTAAAGGGGCCGCGCCGCCCCGGGAGGGGGCAGCAGTGGCACTGCCCGCAGGAAGCCTTCCTTAATAGTACCATTGCAGAGGGCTGCGCGGTAGCGAGTGATCTTAAATGATGGTGTGATCTGGGTGCTGTCTTTCCTCCTGCTTTAAGAGATTTGTACCACTGATGAAACCACATATGAAATTGGTAACGCTGCATCAATACTTTTCAAATTATTCCTGGACCTAAAGTGAGAAATTTACATTCTTGGGGATGGGGATTGTAATGAATCAAGGCCCTGATTTAAAAGCGAGCTGAAATGTCAGCAGTTTTCATTCCATACTTTTAGCTGCCCACTGTGGCACACAGGTAAATGCCCTCACCTAGCTCTTATCTCTTTGAAAAGTGGGGAAAAAAAAAAATATCAACTGACAGAGCGTTCACAGGAATAATGGGATGGCTGATTGGTTTGCATGGAAGTCAGGCATAAGCTGCTAGCACAGCGCAACCAATCTCCTCTATTTTCACTTGCGCACAATAATTTGGATTCAGCATAGCTGAATGGTGGTTCATTGCTCCCATCAGGGAGTAACGTTGATGTCAAGCACCACCACAGAAGATGCTGCACACCTACTAGAAGAAACCAACTGGGGCTGCGCAGCGCTTTGCACACCTAACTTCCCTGGAATTCTCAGTGCCTTTGCCCACATGGTATTGTTCTGTAGCTGTGACCAGTATTTTAGCACTGGCCCAGGTGTGCACCCTGCCTCCTGTCTGCCCTTGTCCCCTGCCCTGCACTCCTGACTGCACCGGCACACACTGCAGCTGTGCCACAGCCTTCATCCAGCCAGGCCTCCATCTTGCTCTCCTATACCCACCCACTGTGCAAATACATTTTGTGAAACTGCTCCTTCACAACACAGGACAAAGTTCCGCTTCCTGAAAAATGGGAATCCTAACATTCAGCCCCAAAGTTTCCTCCAGTTCCTCACATTGGGGCTTGGTCGGGCTCCTTCCTAGCTGCTTCTGTACACTGGTCTTACTGCTTGTGAGTTGGCATCTGCTATATGAACGCAGCACCCAGCACAGCAGCCAAAACAACACTTGAGAAACAATTCACATGCACATTAAGATGGAGATGTGCATCTCTTACACTTAATAGAAAGATGGTAGTAAAACTGACCTGTGTTTCAAGATGACTTCACAGTCTTTATTTTGCCAGATGAAAAAAGCTACCTCCAGAATTTCATGCACACAGGGAATTAGTGTAGTACTCACTGTTGCAATCTGAAGCAAAAGAAAAACAATGACAGTGATTACTTGAGAGAGCCAAGCCAGATTATTCAACTTATATTTTACTTATTGTTTCCCATATCTGCTTCAGTACTATTTCCACTCATTCAGAACTTGAAATAAAAAAAAATTGTTTTGACAGAGCTCTTAGAAACTGCAAGTAAAGAACTCTCCAACATCCCTTTGTGAGGCTTCATGATAGAGTACCGCTGCATTTCATACCTCTCACGTCAGTGGCTTTAAAAAAAAAAAAAAAAAAAAAAATTCAGAAACGTGCTTAAATCCATGCTGTACCTCAGTTATGTTAGAAGGATGCCACTCAGAATCATACCACAGAATGGCTGAGGTTGGAAGGGACCTTAAAAGACCATCCAGTTTCAACTCCCTGTCACGGACAGAGCTCCCACCCACCAGGTGAGGCTGCCCAGAGCCCTATCCAACCCGGCCATACCCATGTATCATCTGAAAACACAAGGAGATTTTCTTTGTTTCTTACTCCTCTCAGAACTCTTCCTCTCCAACCAAAATTTTAAGAGAATGATGTGGTTAAGTATTTGTCACATCAAATATAAATTAGCAGATGCTTCAGGGACAGAATACGTTCCTCTGCATCCTACCTCACCTCACATACTTGCTTCTCCTGTCTGTGTCCTCTCTTCAGTAACACTGTTTCTGAAGGATTTTTGTTTATGATCTTTGAAGTGAAAAGAGGTTGAGTCTGCAGCACATAAGCTGAAAAGAGAGTCCATAGAAAATATCAGACAATTGTGAAACAAAGGTAGCCAGACAACCATATTCACCACAATGAAAACTGATGACAAACCGAGTACATTTTTAAAGCTAGGATTAACAACAAGCATCCATTTCACAGCATGAGTCATTTCCCAGTTGTTCCTGTGCTTGATTGGATCAGCACTGCAGCTGCAAAGCCTTTGTCAGGCTCCAGGTGTGGCACAAGATGTAATCCCCTACCATGATGCAGTTGACCACCACCATACTAGAACAGGCCAAGCATTTGAATTAAATTTATATAAGCCATTTTTAACCAGCTGATATATGCTGAAATATTTTGTTTTGTGGTCAGTGTTTTGTTTTCAGTCTCATATCCATCCACCATTGTCTGATCTCATTTTTATAAGTTAGATTCTGCACAATGGACTTTAAAGGCATAGAACTTCATACATCCATACATTCTGCAATGAGATTCATTAAATTAGACAACTACGCATGCATCAAACCTAATTTGATACCCTTGGACACTTCATTTCCCTTAACTGTAACCAGCTGAACATGTCTAGACTGATCTAAGCTGAGGTCAGATAGGCATCTATAGTCACCTGAGAAATCGGTGCTTCCAAAGCACCAGTCAAACAGATAAAACATCTTCCAGCAACGTCTCCCACCCCCTTAGCTACAGAGGGAGATTAGGTAAATAGTTTAGATAGCTGAAATCAAGAAAGCCAGGTGGGTTATGAAACCTGCCTGTAGTCCATCTCCTGGGTGACAGTATGACTCACATAGCTCACAAGCATGAAAAGTATGACAAATACAACACCACAGTGCACATTTTTACAGGTTATACCTAACAGTTGTTGGGTTTTATTGTTTGTTTTTTGTTTTGTGTGTTCTAAATTGATTAGTATTCTAATCAATCTATGCCACATTAGTGCATTTCACTTCTCACTCATCAAAGACGGATGAGCTGCTCATCTGTTTACAGTTAAGCATATGTTTAAGTGCTTTGTGGGTTGGATTCTATCACTTTGTAGCTCAGATAAAATTTAGTGCCTTCATGGCACAAATTTTCACTTTTTTTTAATTCTTGTTTTTGCCCAATCTGTCCATCTAGGAGCAGAATGTTTTTTGGAATCATTCCTAAATATAAATTGGTGTAAAATATTTTCTAAAGATTGATTTCAGCAATACATCTTTCAGCATCTCTGACTTGAACCCTTTAATTGCAGCTTGCACATTTAGAGCTACAAGCTGTGATAATCAAAATCTATCTGCTTCCCCTGCTGTTGGTGGCAACACCCTTAATATAGAATCAGTTCATTTCAATGACAGATTTTTGAATTGACTGTTTAGTGGTTTCTAACATTCATACAACTAAATGCATGTGTTTCTTGTTTCTTGTTTAAGTAATTCCAAGTAAATGTAACGCATTATAGGTCTATAAGTATCATGATTCTTTGTTAATATTCAAAGCTGAGGCTCACCTTTACCCCAAAGACTGGCTGCTTGGAGCCATGGTATTATTTTGGTCTGACTCTGGCCATAACACTAAAAGTCAGATGGCCTGAGTGCCAGCAGCACTTTCTTGCTTTATGATGCCAGTTGTGGGATTTATTTAAAATGCTACATCCAAGCCCTCGAAAACAAGAAATAACACAAGGTACACTAGGTAGCAAAATATCATCAACTTAAAGCAATCTTGCTCTTAAGCAACTTCTTTACTTCCTTCTTTCCATTTGCAATCATGAGCTTTTCTGGGATAACATTCAGAAAGAGCTAGCAAACGTAACTTCTATCTTTGCATTTAACTTGATAAGATCATTTGCCAAGGGTAATTCAGACATCACTTCCACCATTTCTTGGTTTGTCCTAGCATTCCTTTTTGACTGACTGTATTCTTAGGCAAACTCTTCCTTTATTCTCTTGCAGGAAGATGGTGGGAAGGATTAGGAAGTTTCTGCCCTAATATAAGGTAAGGCTTTGCTGATTATGCTTTCTACTCCTTAAAACAAAACCAAGATGAAACTATTTTAAAATAGTGTCTAGAAGCTGTTCTCTCCCACAGCTTCCAAACTCACAACTAGTTGATTTCTCTTCATTGTTAACAAGGACGAGAAAGAGAAGATGATGCTTAAGCAGCTCTTCTTGTATCCAAAACACAAGAAGTTATCTACTGCTACAGCAGGAAGAGCTCCAAACTCAGCTCAGCTCTGAATTCTGAGATTTCATCTCCATATTAGTAAACTACCTAAGAAATAGAAATTAATAGATCACTCTACATATTCCTATGTCAGTTTACAACTGTAGTAGAATACATAGCCTACCTCATACAATCTCACAAAAGATATCACCAGCACAAAACACCAGAGAAATACAGAAATATTTTTAAGAAACACACCTCCACAAGGTTCACATTGGTGATAGCTACACTACATAGACCTATAAAATGGTAACACACAATGCAGCTGCATTGCCTTCTTCCCTGCTTCCCTTTACTGACAGCCTCAATTAATTTCCTTGGCAACAAAACTGAGCAACTCCTTCCCTACAAAGAACTTATGAGCACTGTATCATCAGCGCTGGCATATGCCTAGAAAATCAAGAGAGATGCATTGGCAATTCTGAGGAGAAACAGCCATCAAAATGGTTTCTAACATGAATAACTCTTTGCTATTCCACTCTGGAGTCTAACCTAAACTCTAAATATTTTACTTAATTGCTGCCAATACATAGCTGTTTCTGAATTTGGTCAAGAAAATTTTCTTTTATTTGTAGATGAATATTTGATCCATGATTGACAATGAAATAGTATTGAGAGTTACATTAAAATTAAAAGTCTCCTAATTAGCATTTATCTCTCTTTACAAGTGGGCTATCTGACATTTGTAGATGTCATTGAATCCTCTGACATCTTTAAGTGTCC